TCTCCCTCTATTAAGATGTGATCCCTACTGTGTAAAGGCGAGGAATCCTGTGTTAGGTAAACAGACAGCTGCTTACTTTTGTAATATCTTTTCAGTTCTGGACATTGGTTGTTGAGACTGTACAGTATGTTTAGGTTTAGATGTGTGAGAGAGACACACCTACAGTGTATGATGATTTGGTATAAAATATATCTTGGCATAAATTCGGTCATCACTCATGAATTATGACCGTCATCCCTAATGAGTGTTTATAAAACTTTTGTATCATGTTTGTAACAGAAAAGCTATCTTCACCTGTAAAATCAGGTGCCTTAGTTAACATGTGCCCACCTGTACAGGTCTCTAAAGGAGTGAAAAATTGTAGTAATTTTATTTCTAAAATAGATTTTCTATACATAAAACTATCCGAATGTTAAAATAGGATATCTTTGAGCCTTCGAAGAACTGAAGCAAGTGCTCCATGTGTGTGCCTTTACAAACCTGAAAATTTGCCCCTCCAAATGATATAAACCTCCAATTTCTAGTCCTCCAGGATAACAAGGTATTGCAGCTGAAACATGTTACTGATGCAAGGCAGAATGATTGGTCTCTTATGCTATGGGCTGTTACAATTTTGTAGGGAAAGAAGAAACACTTATTTTGCCAGTTGACTTAAAATTAAAATTACTGTTGTTTGAAGCCATTCTTGGATTTGGAATGTTAGAACAAGTCCAGGGGAGATGGGATAATGAAAAAACTGGAAGTTAGGTTGTCAAAGGAGTAAGATAAATGTACTTTGTCACATCCATTTCCACATATATTGTGTATTCTCAGTCTGTCAAACCTATAGTACATATATGTTGGGTGTTCATAGAGTGCATGGTTTCTGTTTTCTGTGTTTGTAATAAGCATAGACTGACAAAATTTAGCTATATGGGAGTATTTATTCTTGCACTCGTCTACGTGCAATCGTAATGTAATGTGCTGACATCTAACCATAGCTATGAACCAGAATACCTTAAGGGTAAACAATGCTACCTGCATCATAGTTTGTAAGGGACGGAAAAGAAAGCAGCTGTACTATGACAAATTGTACAACCCGCTTGTTTCCTCTGTCCTCTTTCCTTCCTCTGTCCTTAGACAGACAGGATGGATTTGTGAGGGATAACACACAATGTTGGGGAGTGGAACAAACTGTTTTTTCCCTTGTTTTTTATGATGAATATCATACACTCATATGTTTTTTGTTTCTTTTAGTTTATTTCAGAATTTTCCATTTTTGCCAACCTTGAGAAGCCGTGTTCCTGTCAATGGAATATACTCTCTTTATGTCCACCTAGTTAAGTCCCTACTGTGCATAGAGTATAGTGCTAGGGACCAATCCTGGAACCCTTACTCAAAACAGGTATCTCTTACTTATGCAAGAAGTCCTATTGACTACCTGGAAAGCTAACTCAATTTTGTTGTGTTTTTGTTTTTGTTATTTTATTTCAGCAGGATTAAGGGTTACAGGTCTGTGAGCAGGCTGACTAAGGGTTACAGGTCTGTGAGCAGGCTGCAGGAATGGCACCTAATTAGTCAGAATTAATAAAATCTGATTACTCATTGATCCACTGAAAGTTGATGTCTGAATAGGGTCAAGTAAAACTGATACATAAATGTGCTCTCAAAGCCAGTTTACAATAGAGGATAAAGACTTTATCTGACTCAAATCAGGCGAGACCAGCGGTTCTCAAACTGTGGGTCGGGACCCCATTTTAATGGGTTCGCCAGGGCTGGCTTAGACTTACTGGGGCCAGGGGCCGAAGCCAAAGCCCGATCCCCACTGTCTGAGGCCGAAGCTTGAGGGCTTCAGCCTTGGGCAGTGGTGCTGAGATTATAGGCCCCCTGCCTGGGGCTGAAGCCCCTGGGCTTCGGTTCCTCTCTCCACCCCCAACATTCCCCTGGGCATGAGGGCTTTGGCCCCCCAACCCCCACACCTGGGGTGGCAGGGCTTGGGCAGGCTCATGCTTCGGTCCTGCCTCCTGGAGTTGTGTAATAATTTTTTTGTCAGAATGGGGTCACAGTGCAGTGAAGTTTGAGAACCCCTGGGCTAGACAAATCCTATGAAGAGGCTCATCTGCAGAGACCAAATGGGTCTTTCGGATGAGCAAATATTGAATGTTCAGTATTTTCTGGGATACATTATTAAAAATGGCATGGATTAAGAGTTCAAAACTTTATACCTCTATAGCAAGAAACGTGCAGATACCACTGTGCGGGTATTTTGCAAAAAAATTTCTAGCAATGTATATTACCTTAGATTTCCTTACATTAAATACATGTTTTCCATGGCTCAAAGTTGGGATGTGTTTTTTTTCCCCCTCTCTGAAGGCCATTGGCTGTATTCTTCTCTAGTTAATAAGTCTCTTTCTCCCTCTCTCTCCTCTCCCCTCCCCCCCCCCCCCTGCCTTTTGGGCTGCAGTCAGTGCGAAGGGCAGGAAAGAATGATTATGATAACAAGAGGAAACAGGAAGAATAATGCTCTCATTTTCAATCTGTTTTTTATTATTGTTTAAATGTAAAACATTGTTTCAATTAAATACTGACCTGTGTATTGGCAGGTACACACATGTGCTTTAATGAATTCAGGCTTTGTTTGGAGAGCTGTGACCTTTTTATCCCTGTTCTGGATCAGAGCTGCTGCATTGCACACACACTACTGATCACTGAAACGTCACTCTGATACGATTAACAGCTCTGGCAGAGCTTGACTTTACACTGGCAGTGGCCGTACAGAAGAATGGTGTCCCCTTTGGACATTTTTATGTTGTTATGACTAAAAATTGAGTTATCCCTTTTAAAAATGAAAAAGATAGCCATGATATAGTTACAAACTTCCACAAATGGGCTTTTGTGGTAAAATGTGTAGCTGATGGAAAGGATATTTATAAATGAACAGAGATCTGGATCAATTATTTCCTTTCTCTTATGACATAACTTTCTCTCAAGCTGTGATTTATTCATTCATTTTAAATCACTGATACCTTGTGAATAGTCATCATAAATGCTTAGGATCAAATGCAAAACCTAGGATTAAAAAACGAAAACAAAAACTCATCAATCGTATAACGGCAATAACATAGTGTGATTAACCTATTTGGTGGTGGTGGTTTTTTGCTTGCGCATGTGGCTGTGAAATTACAAATTTGTGTGATTGAAATGATGTCCTGTTATGTAATAGTTCTTTTTAAAAATAATAGAAGGAGAGAGGAAAAAGAAACAAACAAAAAACCCTTTTGAAATCCTTTTAGTGATGTTGAAGTGAGTCAGTAGCATTTTTTCACTTCTGGCAACTAGCTTTGCAATTTCCTATTTGACCTCATGGAATGTTTTTATTTATGTATCCTGTTAGTTCTAAATGTTCCACATTTGGGTAAAACCTGAACTACAAACATTTTTTATTGTATTAAAGAGCTTGTGTATTGAACGCAGGTGTTCATGCTCTGTAATAATTGGCAGTTTATGGAGATACACCAGCTGTACTGATCCACAGGGGAGATATTAGAGCTATTCACACATTGCATATATTGTAGGAAATTTAAAATTCCTGTAATTGTCAGAAATCTTGTATGTCCAAGTTCATAAGTGCTCCCATAGAAAATATACAGTAATCCTCTGATAGTAAAGTCATTTTTATTTCAGAAACAGCTTATCCCTTATTATTGTGCTTTCTTGCAGCATTAATTGACAGTTTCTTCACTTAAGCATAGAAAAAAAAACAATAAAATATTTGTCTCTGTTTTCATGGCTCATTTATGTCAAACTGGTACCACATATTTTTGTAAGCTACATCAGTTAAATTCTATTACATTCAAGATTTATTTTAATACAGTAAAATGTATAGTATCAAAAGCAAGTTTGGAAATAGAGGCAGAAAGATCAAAATGGGAGTAAATCTTGAAAGAAACAAACTAAAGGGGAAGGAAAGCTAAGGTGCTTTTGGGCAGCAAAGTGTCAGGTATCACTTCACAGGAAAAGGAGTTGACAGTCCCTCTCCATGTGGAATGGTGAGATCCCATATAGAATAGTGTTTAGTTCTGGGTACTACTACTTCTTAGCCTATGCGCAGCGTGCCTTGGATAGCACGTGACCAGGATTCATCACCGAATTCAGATCATTGGCTTCCTTGGTCTGGGCCAGGTACCGATGGGGAGTGGGACATGAAGGCTGATCCATGCCCCCCTGGGTGCTTCTGTACCCAGAAAGGTATTGATAAATCAGAGAAGGGGGGGGGCGGGGACAGAGCTTCTGAGGGCCTGAGTTATAGGGAAAGACTGTAGGAATGTTGTATGAATGGTTTGGCTAAACAGAGGGGAAGCAGGGAAACCATAAGTGTTTGTTTGAAAAGTATGAACGCGGTGGAGGGAGAGGCATTATTCATGGTAGTTCAAGACAATATGAAGAATAATGTGGAAAATGGGTTGAACATGAAGAAAAACCTCCTTATGTTGAAGTTTTATTAGACAGTGAAAGTTCTCAGTGAAAGCAGCAAAAATCTCATCACTTTAAATCCTGTTAAAGTAGATTAGGCAAAGAGAGCACTAGGGGCCCAATCCTGCATTGGCAGGAGAATGGACAAGACAGCCAATCTTAAATGAATTGGTGGTTCCTATATAATACCTGTGCTAGATATTTGTATTTTTTTTCCTCCTAAAATGTGGCTATAAAAATGACCTAAACTAGTTTTTTCTTGTCCCCTCCCCATACACCCTATAATGGTTTTCCTGGGAATTATGGCTATTTCATTCTGTCTCTTGAAGCTGATCTGTCCTACATGTATATGTGGTCAAAGAATCCCCTTTCCCCTTCATCAGAAATATCTGTTGTGTTCTTTGAACTAGCCAGAGCCTGATGTTGGGACGTTCTGTTTAAAGATCATTTCCTTGCCAATGCTTCAATCTTTTGTGCATGTATATATTGTACGTTCTGTATTTGTTTGAAACAGGATGAAGTCAACATGTGTTTGGTTTTCTTTGTAGGTTTGTGTGCTTTGCGGAGAGCACTGGGAGAACAAGCTAACCTGTTAGACAGCGAGGTGGCTGGGTCAGTGATGATTACTCTCAATGACTTCCTGCAGGGGATGAATGATGTCAGGCCCAGTGCCATGAGAGAGGTGGCTATTGATGTGCCAAAAGTAAGTCATGTTCCCCAGAACACTAGAAACATTGTTAAAGCTAAATGCTGTAAAGTCATAGTGAGACTTCGAAGAGCCCTGTCTGCAAAGGTTCATTTTAGAAAATAGAGGTCTCCAATAAATGTTATGCATCATTTCTTTTTTTTTTTTTTTTGACGTCAGATTTTTGTTTGTTTGTTGGCATTTGTTGTTCAGCATGAAAAGTAAGAACTGCAGGAAGACCTATGTCTCTTGTTGACTGTGTACTCTGTTCTCAAGATCTGAATAGGTTAATTGTTTAAAAGTCTAAAAATGTAAGCTTAAAACAGGCACTGAATAGGTCTGTACGTCGGAGCCACTAGTGTTCCAGCAACCAGTTCAATTAGAAACAAAACATTGACATTTGTCACCAAAATATATTGAAACAAGGCTATGAAAAAGTTTGTGTGATTGTATGGAGCATAGCTGATAAATTGTATAGGTCAACAAGATCTGAATCACTGAAAGCATAGGGACAAATTCTGCCGACAGTCATACTTCTACAATCTCATTGGCTTCAGTGAGATTGCAGAGGTTTAATTAAGAGCAGAATTTGACCTCCTGTGTGAGTCATTACTGGTCAGCAGTGATCACTTCCGAAGTCATCACTTTGCCTGCACAATTGTGTGTGAATATGCTACTTGTTCATCGGAAAAATTAGTTACTTTTTGGAAATGATATACATTTACCACCTTCTGTCACAAATTTTTCAACTTGCGTTGAAAAGAGAAGATCCTTGGCCTTGAAAAGCTTACAATCTGCTGAGATAACCAGATAAGTCTATTCTACAGTGTTCTAATAAGCCCTGTGTTATTTGAGACAAACAACACGTGCCTAAAAAAACAAAACAAAAAACCCAAACCAAATTACTTAACTCTAATAATCAAAATATTTGTAGGCATTAACTTGTCCACTCGCTTCTAGGAGAAGGTGATGTGTTAATGGACAGATAAACAGAATGGGTGTGTATCCTACATTTCTATCTTGTTAATATTGGCAAAATAAATATTTGTGCTTTATATTAAGAAAATTCCAGAAAATCACAAAAGGGGGGCATATAAATCAACTCCAAGTAAAAAAAAATAATAAACTAGAAGAAAGTTACTAAGCATCATTTCACAAAGATGAATCAACAGGGAATTCAATCACATAATAGGTGGTTATTCCCAAACTATGGGAATAAGAAATCGGAAGAGTGAATGGTACACTTCATTTAGTAGCCTGTTCATGTATTTTGCACTATGGGCCAAACGTGGCTTTGTTTGCTATTGAAGTCAGTGGAATTACTCTGGATCTACACTAGAGATATTCAGGATTAATATGTCTGAAATCAAAAGTAGAATCTGGCCCTGTCTATTTCACTTACATATACCTAAATACACCTCTACCCCGATATAACGCTACCCGATATAACACGAATTTGGATATAACGTGGTAAAGCAGTGCTCTGGGGTGGGGCGAGGCTGTGCGCTCCGGTGGATCAAAGCAAGTTCGATATATCACGGTTTCTCCTATAACGCGGTAAGATTTTTTGGCTCCCGAGGACAGCGTTATATCGGGGTAGAGGTGTAGCTCCCGTTACCATAATAATATCTGAATGCTTCAGAATGTATTTCTCTTCATAATACTGTGAGATAAGGAAGTACTATTATCCCCATTTTACAGCTGGATAACTGAAGCACAGAGACAGAGTAAATGATATGCCCAAGGTCACACAGGAAGTCAGTGGCATATCAGGAAATTGAACTCAGGTCTCCTGTGTCCCAAGCTAGTGGCCTAACCACTAGAGTCTAAATTGTTGTTCTTCTCAGTGCCTTCCTCCTTATGTCTCAGTCCCTTTTCCCACAACCTTAGTCATCAGACTGCTATTTAAAAACATTTCTTTATTGAAATGAGTACACAAAAAGTGTTGTACACTGGCAGGACTTGGGCTTTTACAGATATAGGTCTCGTTCTGTCCAGACTTAAGCACATGCTTAACTTCATTGATTTCATTGGGACGCCTTGTGCATGCAATATTTAATAATACTTTTGAAACTTAGGTTCTGATTTTTAGCTAGGCCTCAATCTAATATTGCAAGCACAGTCTTGCTCTTGCAGTTAAAGAGGATGAAAAATTGCATGTCCAATTAATTGCACTTACACTTGCACCTGTTTGGATGCTTAAGTACTTGATTGTGAGTGCAAACCAGGTAGTTTGGCAGCTAAATGGGTGCAATCGCAAAGTCATTTGGGGCCCATGATCTTATGCCAGCAATATAATAGACTATTTATTTATGCCTTAGCATACTTCACTATTTGGGGTCATGATGTGTGATTGTCCAGTCTTGGAACATCTGTTGGGAAACCTCTGGAATTATTTGCTCTTCACAAGAACTGGAACCAACATTAGTTATAAATACAATAATAAGTTCTTCTTTTTATTCCCCCTTCACCTCCTTTCAATACAATATTTACAGTTCATGGACTTGGGCCATTTTTCCATCCAGCACTTTATTAGCTGGCTCGAGTCCATGGTGCACTGTGATATGTTACTTATGCGCTCTGCAGTAATTTACACCAGTGGAAAGTGCTTTCTTGCACTAAGCTTATTATGTTCATATCATATTGTAAAAATTATGGGTTAAACAAAAAACCCCTAACGGAAACCAAATTGGCTTAATGAGAAGTAGTTGATTCCTGCAATTGGAGTCCTATAACTTCAGTTCTCTTTTTTTTCTGACTAGTGCATGTGCTAATGATGCAGCATGTTTAGTTATCTGAGAGTGATTAATCTTCAGATACTTTCACCTGCATATTTCTGTGAGGATAGCTTTTCTAATTATTATTATTATTTATTAAGACGAAGCCGCCTATCTAAGTAGACAAGTAATTATGTGTTACTTTTTTGGTAAATACGGGATTAAATTCTTTTTTTTTTTTTTTTTTTTTTTGTAAAAGTGTTTCAAAGTTTGACATTAATTTTGTTTGTCATCTAAAAAACCCTGGCTAAAAATACATTAAAGCATGATATAAATGACCAACCACAGGAAACTTTCCAGTAGGAGACAATAGCTTGGGTATGAACTGTATTACTCTATTAACAGTTCATTTTTTTTCTTTTTTGGAAAGATATATTATTACAAAGGTCAAACACGTGCATTGATGCACTTTTTGGGCTAATACAGTGAGTTAGCAGTAAAATCAAATACAGCCTTAAGAAAACTGAGAGGCACTTTCATTATGTTAGGTTAATATTTTTCAGTTTAAAATTGGCTGTTTTTCATGTTAGGGCTGTTTAAAGTAGCTCTATGTAAAGCAAATGAGAAAAGACCGCAAAGATGGGGTAACATACCATATTTTAAACCATGAATAAAGGCAATTTGATAAAAGGTTCATTCCTGCTTTGGTTATGTGCCGATACCATTCTCTCGTTGCTACCCCTGTATTTTCCTGAAAGTGTAACATCCTCTTTCCACCACTCAAGATAAATAATGCTCTTGTTTTATTATGAAGTCAGCAGAGAAGTTAGTCAAAATATGCAGAATTTTTCTCTGAAATCTGCACCACTTTGAGCAGCGCAGTGAGTGGGAGTTTTTATTGTCCTAATTAGCTCTAAATTTTTTAATCTTGACCCTCCTACAATTCTTTCTGAAATTCAGTATATGTAGTATTTTGTTAAACTAAGTTGCTCTGGTTGTGCTCATTTTTAATAGAAAACCAGCAAAAGCCACACTGCTGTGCCTGTACCATTTTACTTGTTGCACAGTATACAATACATTTATCTTAACTCGTAAGAGCAGTATCTATCAGCTGCATTATTTGAATGATGAAGGCTATCGGATGCAATACTTAGTTTTTCTATTAAAAACATACCCCATTTATTGATGTGGGGGAAAGCAGTCCGATTAAGTGAGTTTGGAGAGGGACTTAGTGAGCTTATTTGGAGGACAGAAGAAGAAAGGCTTGTCCAGGTGTAGAGGTGGCACGTTACAGTCCACTTCCTGGTGTACTATATATTTGCATTCTCTTGGCACTCCATGTATGCAGAGAGAGCTATGCCGTGTGTTTGTGAGTGGGGAGAATGCAAAATGTTTCTGTGATGACTGCAAGAATCTGTTGAGTGTCCTGTACTCCTTCATTTTAATGGAACTTCTCTTGAACTTCATTACATGTAACCTCTTTGGAAGACTGCTCTTGTGTGTCAGGGACTTTGGAGACGGGGCCGGGGGGGGTTTCATGTTATACATCAGGAAGTTAGTTCTGTGCTTCAGTGGTTTAGGGAGTTCAGCTATAGTAGCCATTCCTCCCTCTTCTATGGGTTTTTTTAGAATTCTCTGAGGGTTTTCCCTGCCTGTTTTTTGTCCTATTGTAATTCAGCACACTGAGACTTACACCTTTCTAGCCAAAAAGTTCTGGATGAGATGTCCTTTGGTGCATGTCTGCTTTGTTTCTTTATTACTGCGTCATAACTGTCTAGGGAGTTACTGTTCTGCATCACGTTCTCAGCCCTGCTGACTTGAAGAATTAAATATGTAGTGCCAGGAATGAAACCTAGGTGTCCTATATTGCACAGCAGCGCACTATCACTATCCCTCTGAGCTTACTCCTGAGGGAATTCTGTGCCAAAAAATGAGTTAGGCTGAGGCCCAATCAGATTAAGAAAATAAAAAATAGCAAATGGAGCAGTCTCAATGTCATAGACTCTTGTAGATCACAGCCTGCATTATAGAAATTCTAGATAAACAAGTTAGCTAAACATTTAACCCTGCATGCTGTGTTAGTATGAAAACTCATGACACTCCTCTTTCTTACAGTGCAGTTTCGAGGAATCAAACAGTAGCTTTCCTTCCTAGCACCAGGTTCCAAAAGGGAACTTATCTAGAGTGAGTCTTCAGGTTTTTCCACACCTGTGTTTCTCAAAAGCCACCCTTTACCTCTCTAATTTCTCCTTTTTCATGTACGCCTTGTCTTGATGGTAAATGGCATACCGCAGTGGAACAGACACAGTATGTTTGAAGAGTTATTTGAACAGTGGTTCAGGGTACTTTTGTCATAAGTGTCCTTTCTCTGAATTTTTGTAGATGTGCAAGGTACCACAAAACTCATTTTGCTTGTTGCTTCTAAAAATTTTAATAAATTCCTGATTTACGTATTCCACTGTAAAAAAAAAAAAAAAAAAAAAATTTTTACCTTCTGCGTGACACATATGGTTTCTGTTACAATCTCCTGTATCCAGCTCTCTCCATTAGAAGAGAACATGTTCCACTGGAACATTACTGCTGGAACAACCAGTCCATCTTTTACATACGTGAATTAATATAATAATAAAATAATATGGGTTTTTGAAAATTAAGGCAGTCTATTTGTCTTTTCTCCTTCCCTAGGAAAAGTATGCTGCTGTTACTATCCCATTATCAAGTTAATTTGGAAATTTATAAATTTTGTTTCATGTAATGTATATGGCTTTTAAGAAAAGTGTTTTCCAGCAGTGTTAAGAAACTACAGAAAACATCTTTCCTGACTCTTTACTAAAACATATTGTACTGTAGATTATTATTATTATTATTTTATTTATTTCTGTTAAAGTTAAGGAGACATACTAAGACCTGGTCTTAAGAATTTGTATCTTTGCTTCATGCTAACTAAGACTCTGTAAATATGTCAGCCTCTTATTTTGAGGAATTAATTGTCATGCAATTTCTGAAGTTACTGTTTTCTGCTTCATTCACTATCTTCAGTAACAGTTATTTCCCCCTCAAAATAAGAAGCAACAACACGCACAACTATGTGTAGCTGTGCGAGCCCATTTACTACTATTTAGCTAATGTTTGTCCATTCAGGCCTGTTTGTATGATGGAAAAAAATCAAAAATGCTCTTTCACAGTACTTCTCTGAAATAGCACATTAGAAATAAGTTTTAGCACTGGCAGGTAGCAAAATCTGGGGTATGGCAAGTTAGCAAAATTGGCAGGCTGCTTTGGCAGTTCATAAGCCCTAACCACTTATTCCTCAAATACTAGATTCCTTAGAATCAGAAACAGCAATCCTCTCTTTTTCTTTTCTCTGAATTGATATTTCTCTTAACTTTTTTCCCCCACAGCAAAATTCTGCCATTAGCTAGTTCATCTGTACTCTTCTGAGGCAATGCTGTCAGTTGTGTGTATTTTTATGCTTCCTTAATCAACCACAGTACTTATTGCCCAGTCAGGCACCTCTTTCTCCGCAGTCCTTGTTCTTTCTGCTTCCCCATCCTTGTGTCTACCTCGGTCAAGCACAGATGAATCTTAAGAGGGGAGTCCTGATTTTATAGCCAGTAAATCTGTTGCCTGTGTTTGAAGACTCCCTATTTTAGGAGAATGTCATCTCAAAACATAAGGTCATCTGAGTCAGTTGCCTCTTATTGTGGAGACTTGATATCTTTAATATCTAAAACAGAATAGAATGGATGCTGACAAAAAAAAGGGGGGGCATAATGGCAGACTACTTATTGCAAACATAGAAAATACAAGGAATTATCTGGAGTGGGGAAAATTATCAGTATTCTTCACAACCCTGTAAGAAAAGGTACGACTCATTTTACCCACCATTTTGAATAGCCTCCATTCTATTTAGTGGTATACATTTTGTTGGTGTCTGTGCTTTTACTCATGATGCACCTGCCTCACATCTTTAGCATAGCAACTCCAACTGCAGTTACTCCTTACATTTTAATCTTTAATATGTAAATACTCATCCAGTATTTTTTTAACATACTAGTTAAATCTCCAGTGCACAAGTCCAGGGTGGAATAAATATCGTTGCAAAGTGATTTAAACCACTTCAATCCTTCAAACACATATGCATGCTAGTAGTCCCTACTACGTGGCAACTTGCACCTAGTATAAATTTCTTTAGTGTGCTAGATGGAAATAATAACCTCTTAAATTTATATAGAATTTTCCCTAGAAGGATACCAAAGTACTTTACAAATTATATATAAATGCCACACACCTAGGAATTGAAACAATGGGAATTATCTAATGATCCTGCAGAGTTTACAGATTATGTGGGTGGTAGTATTGATACTGGGTTGTCTTTTTGGATAACCGCAGTTATTCATTTTTGAAATAGATGCTCAATATATAAAAAATTATTTTCCTCCCTTTCATTATGTAAATCACCATTTTCCCTTTTTTCTTTACTGATAATTTATCAGATGCTGCCTGTTTTAATTTAAAAGGCTTTAAAACTTAAAGCACTTTTTTTTTTTAAACTTCATGAAATAAACCTATTGAAAAGGATATAGATGCCATAGTTCTATACAACCCTCCATTCTGTGCAAATGTGTGAATTCAGCAAAATGGTCTGCTTTGTAGGTACTCTGGTCAGACATAGGAGGACTGGAAACTGTCAAATTGAAATTGAAGCAGGCGGTGGAATGGCCCCTCAAGCATCCTGAATCCTTCATCCGAATGGGGATTCAGCCACCCAAAGGAGTACTACTTTATGGACCTCCTGGATGCTCAAAAACAATGATAGCGAAAGCTTTGGCCAATGAAAGTGGCCTCAACTTCTTGGCGGTGAAGGTAGGTCATTTATTTTTATTTTTTCTTAATCTCAGGAAAGTAAATGGTTTCAGACAATACAAATGTTTTGTGTTTTGGACCAACTTTCTGCTGCACAGCTTCTCTTCACATTCATTACTCATGGGCTAGTGCCCCCCAGCTGTGGAATTCGGAAGCAGTCCAATGTTGTTGCTGGAGGCTCCAGGACTGGGCTCCACTGTTGGCTTCAGCTCAGACAGACACCAGATTTTCTGCTTCCAGCGGTGGAACAAGTTGGCAGTTCGGTTTCTCCTGGCCATTTAGGTTTTGTTTTTATTTATTTTTGTGCAGTTGTGATTTATAATCTTCCCGGCATTGGGTAAATAGCACCAAGATAGTTTCAGCCACTTGGATCTGCTGCTGTAGTGCCCTCTGCCAGGCCCCTCTGCTCCCACTCAGGCGTGGCAGAGCTGTCCTGCAAACACCTGGCTAAATCTAAGCGGAGCACCTTACATGAGGCAGCACTTTTCAGGCTCTACAGAGGATGAATGATGCCCTCCTGTTGCCTGCCTGCCAGCCAGCCAAACTTTGTGCTGCTAGGGCATGAGGCTCAGAGTCAGACTGGCATGTTGGCAGACCTATCCTGCCCCGAGAAGCTGTGACTCCAGTGCAGAAAAGCCTGATCAGGAGCTTCTGAGCTTTTGGGGAGGGGGTCTAAGGACGAGGAGGAAACTATCTGGCCGGTACAGGGCCCTCAGTAGACCTAGGCTGGGGAGGAGGAGGAGCCTTGAAGGATCCAGTGTCATCCGCCACCTGCCCTCAAGGTACTGAAGTGGGTCCTCTGATCCACTGGGGAAGAAACAGGGCTCTGCACAGCTCCCCATCCTCCCTTTATGAATTGGGGGGGGGGGGATTCTCATTATACTCTGGGATAAGCCCTGTAAAACCCAGAGACTCTCAAAAAGGCAAAAGCAAGTGTTGCCTTCACAAGGCAGTAATTTAATATTGTTAATAAATGACTGAGGTGAAAATCAGAGGTGAAACCCCTTCTCCCCTAAGGGAGGGTTTGCTGGGGATTTCTCCTATCAAGTCTCTTGCTCAGTGCTCTGGACCATGCTCACTGCCCCTTCCACACCCTGCAGCATCTGTGGGCATGTGAAGAAGCCTGTGCAGCCCTGCCTCAGGTTTCACCCTAATGGAAATTGTGCCTGTCTGGCTTTCAGCCCAAGGACCCTCGCTGTGCCAGGGAAAGGGGCTCAGATTTGAGGCAGCAGTGGAAAGGAAATTGTCTTCTGATCATCCGCCATAAACCCTGCTCAGTCAGAGAAAGGGGCTCAGACTATGAAAGGTGGGAAAGGGTCTTTCTCTCCACCGCTCCGATGGCTATCTTCACAAGGCTTAAAGCCTTGAGCACTTCAGGGAGCCTATGACCCTGAGGTTTCCATTGCTCACAAAGTTGCAGTTCTGTGGAATTACAGCAGGCTAACATCCCTGCCCTTGTTCAAAATTATCCTGATTTATGGGCTGTGCTGCTGAGATGGCACAGAGGTGTCAGCCTTCACTGTCAAAGCCAGCATAGCAACCATTGGTTACTACCAATATCAAGTGATCCAGGAAGGGACTATTACTCTGACACGGGGGAAAAAATCTAGAGCAGACGCTTCAAAGGAAATCTCGATACATTTTCTTCCAGACCAACAAAATCCTCCGTGAGACAAAGGCAAAGAGTGTTTGCATATACGAGCTCACAATTCCTGTACCAGACTTTCTTCTGATCTGCCCTCTACACCCTCTGAAGTGGCTGGTGGAAGTTGCAGCAAGGCACAGATTGCATGTTGTGCACCTTTACCCATGAATAGGCAACATGCCAATCAGTACCCTGTCCAGAGAAACAGACCCATTCAGGAATGAACAGTTGCTGGAAAGGATTCATAGCCATCAGTTCTTGGAAATCAAGAGGAGCCTTTGATCCCAGTGCAGAGAATATCTCAACCAAAGGTCAAAACAGACACGTATCTGGCTGTAATTGTACCAAAATGGTAAACATTTGCAAAGATTCAAAACTTCATTCTATCAGTCATTTCCTGAGGGGTCATGAGTAGCCAATTATTTCAAATGGGTAGGATTGCTGGTGCTGCGCATTGACTTCCTCCACTGAGTGGGTTTCTCAAAATGTACCTGCCGAAGTTCCTTCTGAGGACATAGAATCATGTACTTGATGTGATGCTAAATTAGGTGTTATTCTCAGATAACATCCAGTACCCCTTTGTGGGCAGGTAAGTTCAAACAATATGCTGAAAGCCAACCTAACTTTTACTGTAGACCCTTGTGTACTCACTATAGAAGCAAGCATGCTTGGGAGACAAATTTCCAAAATCTCATAGTACACATCCTGTTAGTTCATTTCAACTTCTCTATCAGGGTGCGGCTGGAAGAAAGAAAAACAAAAAAAAGGGGGGGGGGGCATGCAAACATGGGTACAGGGGATCATCATCTACTCCAGTATCTTGTTTCTGACAATGACCAGTACCAGCTGCACCAGTAGAAGGTGCAAGAAACCATGGTAGTGGGCAATTATGATACTCGCAGAAGTCGCCTCTTCCTAAGGTTTGCTTATGATTGAGGCCATAAGTGTTATATCCCTTCCAAAACCAGGAAATAACCAGAGGTCAAAGCTTCTCCTTGGCAGTGGAAATAATGTTCTTGGTAGAGAAGAGTCTGCTACCTTTCAAGACAATTTACACAAAGAATACAGGAAAGCGGGAGAAGGAGAGTTGGGGTCTTCCTCCCAGTCCTGCACTAACCCAGAAGACAGCATTTTGGACATGCTAGATAGCCAGGGATCCCACATTGTGCCTGCAGAAAACCCCAGAGCTCTTGAAGCCAAAAATTCCTTCATTCAGACTGGGTTGTATCCTGTTCATTTCATTCTATCCAAAATTCCAAGTCTTTAGGGCCTCAAGCTTGTTGTGGGCAAGCATGGTAGGCTTCTGAGAAACTATTCACAGAAGTCCCTAGAGGCATTGGGGGAAAGTGTATGAGCCTCAACTGACAAAGATTAGCTAAGTTAGTTTCTATTCCTCTGCAAAGGCATCCTTCGGTATGAAGATGCTCCTAGGTTGGTTCCCACATTACTCCTTAGTTTTTAAAGCTCTTGCTTTATATGGGGACAGCTTCCATTCCTGCCTGTTGTTCTACTATAATTTATTAAACTCTGCTTATCCTTTTCCCTCCCTATTTCTGGGATTCACTGCTCGCTACTTCCTGTGAGTAATGAAGAAGAGAGAAGCTGTGCAATAGAAGGAGAAATTTCTTACCTGAATGTTTTTTTTCCCGTTAGCAACTTCTCTCTGATTTCAACCCACCATGGTAGTCTGGTGAGATACCAGAATATAAATTTATTTTTTTTTCTAAAGGGAGACTTAAACATATATTGCCTTAAGGTTAATTTAATACATTATATCACGGTGTCTTAATGCTAATAAAGTTCTACACCTGTGGTCTGAGCCGAAGGGTGGAGCCTAGTCCTGGAGCCTCTAGCAACAATGTTGGACCACCTCTGAATTCCACAGGTGGGGGGCACTGGCCCAGGTGTACTGAATTCAGAGAGAAGCTACTAACAGAAAAAATCAGGTAAGAAATTTCTCATTCCTTTATTACAGTCTGCTGTCCCTCATTGTTCCTGATCGTCTTTTGTGTATATAAATCTCAAGTAAGCTTTTTTCCTTTTATTGCTTGAAGAGTCAGAGTTGTATTTCGTCTGAGCCTCAATAGTCCGCAACACCTCACTTTAAAAAGACTGAGTTTTGAATCGGGTGGAAAAAAATAAAAGTAAAAAATTGAAATGTTTAATGTACAGTTTGATATATTATACTAAAGATCAAATGCAGTTTATTTAATGAAATCCTAAATTTTTTAAGTTTTAAAATTCATACACAGTCTCTTCTTAGAACATTGCAAATGAAATGCTAAACTTATTGGATAAAGTGTACCTATTTTTACAGTAATGGTATCCGTTTAAATGGACATACTGCTACACTGCTACCTTGATATACCGTGACCCGATATAACATGAATTCGGATATAACGTGGTAAAGCAGTGCTCCAGGGGATCAAAGCAAGTTCAATATAACGCAGATTCACCTATAACACGATAAGATTTTTTTGGCTCCCGAGGACAGCGTTCTATCGAGGTAGAGGTGTACCTATTCTCTTACTATCTCTTCCCATCCCACTCAGATGTTCTTGAATGGCATTCTGGAAACAAAAAAAACAAAAAAACTAACAAAAAGGGAATTGCAATGCATAACATTTGATAGGAAAAGTTAGGCTAATTGTAATTTTAATAACGCAAAATTTGTAAAAGCAAAAATTGTGTAAGGCAAGTTTTAAAAAAAAAACTATGTAAAAAGTTGTTGCAACTTTGTGTAAATAATGTGCAAACAATATGAAATGTAGACTAAAAGTCTGCATAAGTTTAAAAAAAAATATCAAAATGACCAAAATGCAGCTGTTGCTTATTATTGTCTGTAACAAAAGGTATAAATGCTTGCTGTAATTGTTTACCTGTGAAGAGACCTGCCTAGGAGGGGGAGACCCTGTGTCCCAGTGCACTCTCCTCCTTTACACAGCTATTTAAAAAAAATAAAGTATCTAACTTTGCTGTACCCAACCAAAAGAGTAAGAACGCTATTATTCTCTGACAATTTGGGAGCTCGTCCGGGATGGCAACGCCTACTAAGACAGTGGCAGCTGATACGGATTGTTCCCCTTTGATCCCCATGGCGCCACAAAAAAGGTATAAGACCTTTTAAAATCTCTATTGGGGTATCGGGAAAAAAACTGCCCGTAAAGACCGTCTGTCCCTGTTGGGCTTACGCCATCTGAACTTACTGACTGTGCAGCAAGATCAGATGCAGAGCGGTGCTGGAAAACTGTTTTGCCACCCCCAATAAGGTTAGTAATGTGGTGCTGGGGACTTAGTTTTGCCGCCCCCAATAAGGTTAATGCATTAAAAAAAATGCATTAGGTATGCACCGGTG